ATAAAACAAAGCTCTCTCAGTTCACTCAGAAATTTAATTCATAAGGAACCAGGTACAGCCAACCCTATTTCAAGATGCTATTCAGTAGGGGTAAATAACCAATCACAGTTAGCAAGATGACACAAGGCCTGTTCACTCTCGCAATTTCACAGCTTATTATATATATATGGCATTTTGCCTGGATAATATAGAATTAATTTTCAGTCAGTGAGGATCCAGAAATTGTCTTAATAGTTTTGCTAAAATTTGTTAACTCCTCAAATTTAGTTACACAGTAACAGATGGGGTCATACGTTGAAAAATCTTAATCTAGTGAACCCTAGAAAAAATTTAAATTGGACCTCTTGAATTAGCAATCTTGCATTAAGACATCTTAAATAATGTCACTGAAAATTTTATTAATAATAAAGAATACAAACATTATTACAATAATACTTGTATATTAAAGTATTTTCTGGTATAATCTAAAATATGTATAGTCATTAATTGGACTTTTAAAAATTTTCATTTTACATTTCATTAAAAAAAAACTATTCAGTAGTATCCTGATAATCTAACCACTTGATACAGTCAAAAGTCGTTAATCCGGACTCGTTGGGACTTAGGTGATTCCGGATTATCAATTTTTCCGGATTATAGATCATCACTTTAAATCTGGTAAGATGGCATGCAGAAATTATAAAATTAAAAATATGAAACCGTAATTTATGAAATAAAGAGTAATTATGATCTAAAGGGTATCAAAATTTACAAAAAGAAAAAGCTAAGTATTTATTTGTTTACTTTATTAAACATTTCTTTCAATGTAAGTTGTTTAATTTGCTCATTTCATGTGATAATACTTTCTCTTTAATTCTATTAAACAGACATAATTTCTTGTTCAGTTACAAAGTTCCGCTGTTCAAGTCCTATAATTGCTGTGTCGAGAATACCGACTAATTTGTCAATCGAAATCTTTTCGTTTTCAATAACATCTGAGTCACTTTCTTCATTATCGGAAGCAAATTATAATGAGGAGAAACTTGATTTAAATCATATCAAGGGCCGAGTACGTCGAGATGAAATACTACATTTAGTAAAGAATTATAAACCAAATAAAATAAAAACATCTGCCCTGAAGATAAGGATAGTGCTGACAGATCAACTTCCAATTCATTGCGCGCCGTGTCGTTTCCCTCCCCCCCACAGAGCAGCATGAAATTGATAAACATATTTCGGAATGATTAGATAATCAAAGGATATAGATTTATCCGTTTTTTGCAGCAATTCCACTTTCTGTTTAATGGACTTCGAAACATACTTTCACTTTGTTGATCCTTTATATATTAGTAAATATATATCGGAAATTCTATTTGACATAATCGGATGTTTAAGCTTACTTTTATAAAATTGCTCTAACAGTCTGCAAAAAATAATAAGCCGGATCCAATTCGAAAATTAAGGAACAACGCAATCTGCAACATTAACTGAAATAGATAATTAGATAATTTTAGCTTATACCATCCGTTATACATTAAACGCGCATGCGTAAACGTATTATGCGCATGTGCACATGTATATTCGCAGCTGTAAAGGTCCTATGTGCATGTGTGAACGCAACGCGTGCGCAGAAAGTTTTTAGCTTTGAGGTTCGAATTAATGACTTTTGACTGTACTATCATTTTTCTGTATCATGCATTGTTAAAGTTTTTAGCCTTCCCTGTTTGTTCTGTTGAATTTCTTAAATAATTTTTACTTATTTTAAAACACAGAAGAATCTGCTTCCTGTATATTACTTAAAGAAAATAATTAAGTAAATTCTTAAAATTATTTCAATATTAGTGAAAGGAGATGCAGTGTTTATATTTTTCATGAACTGGTACATATCATTCAAACTTCACATTCCCCCCCCCATTAAAATAAATAATGTCAGTCTTATCATCTAGTTCTACAGAGTCAACATAAACTGAATCTGAACATTAAATGATGAGAAAAAATACCCTTCAATATCCATTCATCATTAAATGATGAGAAAAAATATCTGAGCAGCAGTAGAATTTAGTAACTAGTTTAATATAAATATAACCAGAAACATATGAATTCGTACTTTCACAACATTTTCCTAGTTAAAAATTTCCTGTATATAATATCCTTTATGCAAAAGTTCATAAATTTTTTATGCTCACTGTAAATTACTTGATGGAAGCTGTGCACTTAATCTTAATATTCAGAGGACATCTCTCATCTTAGCATTTATAGAGAATTCATCAGTTTCATCTTCATATGATGTGTTTAGACTTGTTTCAGGAAGTAATTAGTTGATATCTTGAACTTATTGTCTGTCTGCACTCTGTGTTGCAACTTAAATTTTTATCAATATCCATGCATTAAATTCCTCGTGTTTCCCATTCATATTAATCGGAATGATTAGATAATGCATATTCTGCAGCAGCTATTTTATTAAAAGTTAGTTATATTTAAAGCAATTCTGAATTGTCTTTTCTGAGATGCATTCCCAAAACAGCTGCAGTACATAAAAAAAAGTTAGGTTACTATGTTAATTCATTTGTATGTATATCCATACCATCCATATATAAAAGAATCCAATACTCATATCAGGTAATTAAATACTTTCATCATTTTCATTGAGCTTATAGTTAAATTAGGGCTGTGATATTTGCTGGTAAATATATGATTTCAGTGTGTTTTAAGACATTTTTGTTATGCATTGTGCAGCTGTCAGTAAGAAGGAAAATATAATTTTCAGTTTGTTATGCTATCTCAAAGTCATTCATTACAAAGTGTAGATGCCATGCATGTCTTGAATGATGTTAGTATTAGTAGTATATTGGTAAACTCCTTTAAAGCATTGGGGATTTTTTTCTTTTTCTAGTTCTTTTTTAAATTTTTTTTAACACTTTTTTTTTTTTTTTTTTTTTTTTTTTTTTTTTTAATTGTTGCAGCATAAAATAGTCACAGAATCTTCATTTTAAAACTTTTTTAATTTTCAGCTGTAAAATGAATATGTATTTTGGAGCATTATTATAGAATTGTTTCATCTGCACTAGAAATATTTTCAGAACTGTATTTTGTAAACAGTTCAGGCCATTTGTTTGACAACCAGCATATTCTGCAGCAGGTAAATCAGCTTCTTTTACTTCACTATTAATACATTTGTAAACAACATTTTCTTTCGTTGGCTAAATCTGCTGTATATTACTACAGAATCATTTCTTTCTATTTATATGGTTAATTTTTCAACTTTCAGCTGCATCAGTAGACTACTCACTGTCAGATTGTTTTCTAAAATTTTTGTAAACCAAACCTTCAGTACTTTCTAAACCTTATGACTTTTCCCATTACATATCCATTTCATATTTTGCCTTGATTTGCAAGCAATGATTTTTTTAGAATCACGCATAAGAGGGGTTGAGAAATCTTTAACTTTATAGCAGCAATTTGTTGACTGTTTTCTGGGAGTAGGTGATAGTGATTTAATAAATTGGCTTTATATTTTAGTAGTCTCCATAATTTTAAAATGATCAAAAGAGAGTAAAAGTGAGTATAAATGATAAAAATAACTAAAAATGATCAAATACAATAAAAAATGAATACTTTGTAGAACAAAACATTCATCAACATTGGGAGCTGAAAACACAGTCAAGAGAATTTTTTGTTGCATAAAAGCAAGATTATGAAGAATTCCAGTTTCATTAAGCCAGGTAGTCCAGCAAATCTTTGTAAAATTTGGAAAATATGCTACTCTGTACATGGTAGACTTGAACAGATAAGAGAACAGGCCAGTGTAAAATTTAAAATCAGCAAAAAATCAAACTTAGCACAGGGAAAAAAATTCCTGTGAAATAATCTCCCCTCCGCAAACAATTTTTTACTTCTGAAGAAGAGGGACCTATGTCTGACTGTCCTCAAAATTATTGCAGTTATTCAAAATGTAGGCCAAATCAGGCTTTGTCTAATTTTAAATGGTTCATTAAAATCAAAACCAAGCTGTTTGACAACTTAATCTCTGAATTGGCAATATTTCTTTATTGTTTGGTAATATTGTATAACCTATTTGAACCTTATCTGGTCACTTCTATATCACAATTTAAAAATTCATTCTGTAATATTTTATCATATTAATCAAATTCTTGATCACAATAAGCAATGTATTTCCCATGCTTTTGTATACAAACGGAAGAGTTTGGTTTTGCCTAGTTATGGCAATATCAAATAGGATATCTGCCTAAGGGTAAGGTTGTCTTCATGGAGGGCTTTCAATGGGAAACTGGCTAGTATACATGTTACACATAGGGAAAACCACAGAGATGGTCATGTAGTTTGCCAGGATTTGAATCCCGGACTGAACTACCTGTATTCAGTAACTTCAGTACCAGTGGTGAGCTGCTGGTGGGCCCAAATTGAAGACACTTTAGCAATTTGATAATAGTACCCGAATGATAATATTAACCATAATCACATCTAGTGACATCTACTGTATTTTTTTTTTTTTTTTTTTTTTTTTTTTTTTTTTTTTTATTTTTTTTTTTTTTTTTTTTTTTTAATTCAGTATCTAAAATAGTAAGATAAGCTTGCTGGGCAACTAATTTCAAGCAATCAGTATGTTCTAGCACACAGTCTGAAAACTTTTCCTGTTAATCTGTTTCAAAGAAACTATCATATAAACATGTCATGTGCAATTCATTAATAGATATTCCCATTAATACGTAGTTTTTTTTTTTTTTTTCTTAATGTTTTATTTAAATCTTTGTTATGTAGCTTTTAGTTCTTAATGTGATTCATATGAGCGGTATAATTAATTCTTGACTGAATTCTGTTTCCAGAATTATTTATATCGTCAATTATGATTTCATTTTGTGTGGGTCTGATGTACTTTGTAAATTTTTTATTTATACATTTTATAATTTTATATTTGCACATTTATTATTACATATTCATTTGCATAATTTAAATTTTATTTAAACTTTTTATTCTAATGCAACATTATTTCAATTCTGTAGGAATGGAGTAGAAAAACTCAAAGCTGGTGTAGACATTTGCTCCAATTTTGAAAGCATTAAACCAGATCCTGAGTAAGTAAAATAATAAATTTGTTTTAAAGTAGTTTAAATATTACTCGATGATATTTATATTTAAAATACTGCTGTCGGTATTGTATATTCTTTTTTTTCCCCCCTAGTTGTCCTCTTGGAACTGATTTAAGTGAGGAAGTTAGAAAAGCGTCTATAAAAGTTAAGATGCCTAAAATTGATTTGCAGGTAGAAAAAGAAAAAGTCTCAGCTACATAATACTAGATCTGTTCTTAAATGTATTGTAAATAAATGTAGATTCTTTCATTCTGCTGATATTTTTATTTACCTATCATTCAGTGTTGATAAATAACATATTACTTCAAATGTAAACTGCACTTAATTTTAAAACTTTTAAGAATAATACAGCTAGGATATGGCTTAAAGTGAAAGTAAATACAGTCAAAAGTCGTCAATCTGGACTCGTCGGGACTTCGGCGATTCCGGATTATCAATTTTTCCGGATTATAGATCAAAGATTACATGCCGAAATTACAAAATTAAAAATATGAAACCGTAATTTATGAAATAAAGAACAATTATGATCTAAAGGGTATCAAAATTTACAAAAAAAAAAGCTTAATATTTATTTGTTTACTTTATTAAACATTTCTTTCAATGTAAGTTGTTTAAGTTGCGCGCCATTCATTACGCCTGTAATTGCTTTAAATCATATCAAAGACGGAGTACATGACATGAAATACTACATTTAGTAAGGAATTATAAGCCAAATAAAATAAAAACATCTGCCGTGAAGATAAGGATAGTGCTGACAGATCAACTTCCAATTCCTTACGCACCACGGCGTTCCCCCCCCTCTCCCCGTGGCAGAGCAGCGTGACATTGATAAACAGATTTCGGATTTCAAAACATACTTTCGCTTTGTAAATCCTTTACATATTAGAAATATATATCGGAAATTCTATTTGACATAATCGAAAGTTCAAGCTTACTTTTATAAAATTGCTCTAACAGTCTGCAAAAAATAATAAGCCAGATCCAATTCAAAGATTAAGGAACAACACAATCTGCAACATAACTCAATTAGATAATTTTAGCTTAGCTTATACTGTCCGTTATACATTAAACGCGCATGTGCACACACATATTTGCAGCCATAAAGGTCTTGCGTGCACGCATAAATGCCTATGCGCGTGCGTCGAAGCGACGCATGTGCAGAAAGTTTGTAGCTTTGAGGTCCGGATTATAGATCATTCCAGATTATGGGTGTCCGAATTAATGACTTTTGACTGTATATTGATATGATTTCTAACAATCTTCCAATCCCCAATTAATAATTAAGGTCTTAAAAGTCAAACTCATTTTTAAAATATTTATTTTTAATAATACCTGTTATAAAATCATTTGACATTTTATTTATTTAATTTTCAAGTTTTAAAATTCTACTGCAGCTTAAAATGAAAATAATGTGATACTTCTAATTACAACAACAAAACAAAACAAAAAATTTCAACTTAATTCTTTAAAATTAATTTGTAGGTTGGAAATAAATAATAGTAGTCAAAAACCTGTATTAAAATATTTTTTTAAGTTATAGCATTGAAATTCAGTAAAAATTTAAATTATTAGAAGCTTTGAATCTTTCTATAAATGATGAAACATAATTTTATAGTCTGTATATTGAAACTTTCACATGCATATTTATAGCCACTATCTGTTTTTATGGCTTAAAATGCTGCCCAGATGGGAAAGTGGTTAATGACTCTTACTGTCAAACTGAAAGGCCCAGGTTCAAATCCAGGAAAAAGCATAGATGTAAATTGTCTCTCCCTTCACAGAAGGTAATGGTGGCTGCCTATTAGATGCCTGCGTAATAAAATGGCCATTGCTTCTGGCCTTAGTAGTAGCCACAACCTTAAATAGCTAGTGCACACACACACAAAAAAAAAAAAAACTGTATAGAATGAGTTGTCACATCATTTTAATGTTTAACAATAGTGAAATATGAAAGGATTTAATACAGCTTAGCTGCTAACCTTAGAATTGAGGGGGGGGGAGTGGTTTCCAATGCAACTTTAAAAGGACGCCCCTAGCAAATTTAATTTAAAAATTACTGAATAATACGTAACTCACATTATTAAACTAAGTATAACGTGATTTGGATGTAAAATATATTAATTCATTATTCTACATTTTTTTCTTATTTTAAATTATGCTTTTTGTCTTTGTATTTGATGTTATAATTTTCTTAAAATTTCATAGAAATGAAAGTACTATAAAATACTGAGTAGGGAATAAAAGCTTTTCTTTACAAAAGTAATTTTAAATATGATGATGATAAAATTGTCAAAAAAATGTGCATATAAATATAATCACAAAATAAACTCAGTAATATACCATTTATAAATTTAAAAACAAATTCAAACATGATATTTTGCTGCTAATGTTTAGTATTTTACTACTGTTACAAAATTAAATACAAACATTTACCTATTAAACATTAATTCTCATAAATAGAATATGTACATAAGATCTCTGTAAGGTATTAAAATACACTGGTTCTAAAAGCTAAGTAAAAAAATGGAAAACTGGTAACTCAAAAAGTATTTAAGTGAATTGGGTGAAACTTAATAATAAGATTTATCAGTGGTAACTTAAAAGCACAAGAAAGTGTTATACAGAATATTTACATTTTATGATATCAACAGGAGCTTAAAATCTCCTAAATTTGGGCATACAAATTAAATACAAAAAAATTCAGTGGGATTAATATTGGGAGAGTGTACTAGCCATTCCATTTGGACCGTAGTTTCTTCTTCAAGAAATTGGTGCACAAGGCGATTTGTGTGAGAGCGGGCATTATCTACTTGCAAAATGAAGCTATTGCCAATTGCTGCAGTATACGAACAAACGGTAGAATCCAGTATATCGTTCCTGTACCCCTGAATATTGAGAGTTCCATGTGGCAGCATATACAGGTCTGTGTGCCCACCTAAAAGCCTCTAAGCAGGTTCTTGAATGGGGAGGAGTTAAGGATACTCCTTCCCATTCAGGACTTATCAGTGAATAGCATACACCTCCACTGATTTTTGTCTAATTTTTAAATTACTAGGTGCCTAATTCATATGCTCCTTCTGGTGATGGGAGGTAAATGGCACACACACCTCTTTCATGCAGCCTTCTACATACTGTTGTGACCTATACTGTCCTTCTTGTAGCAGAAATAATAACAGATCTATGCTGAGATGGTGTTGCAGTTCTGTTGTGCATGAATTAAATCACAAAACCATCAGACTCTCGTTGACCTGCATCTAATCTGCCATTGGTTCCGTAATGCAATTCGGCTAGTAAATCTCACCTCAATATAATTTTTACACTTCGGCTATCTCAAAATTGTTTAATACACTGTTGTTCGTTGAATAGCAATTCCCTTCTAAACTACTGACTTTAAGCTGTATCATATTTGTGTAAAATGATGCTTACGTAGTGCTACTTGATGCAGCTTGCTTTTATTTGTAACATATCCAAATTTCAAGAATTTTAAACTACTTTTAACTGATATATCACGATTTTTCCAAATTGTTTTTGAAATTTTGGAAACCATTGTAGTTTAGATTGAATAAAAATTAATTACATTGAAATTTTCTTTGCATTTCCTTTTCCTTCAAAAATAGTGATTAGAAATTCTTCTACAACTGAAAGAGATTATCTAATTTCGATTAGATTTAAAACCGGGAGATTTGAGAAAGGTGAAAAATCGGGAGTCTCCTGGTTTTACTGGGACAGACAGGCTGGCTGTATGGGAATTTTCTTGGTTTTTCCCTTGCGTAACTTCATTACAGTAATCTTTCCTTGAAAGGTCTTCTATGAAGATGTTCTTATGCTTAAGTAGATAGGTTTACTAGTAGTCTAGAAGTAAAAATTGTTAAACACTAGGAACAAAATGCATTAACATACAATTGGGGGTAAGTTTTACTTTTTCTGACATCTCTTTTCTAATAATTTTTACACTTAAAAAAATTATTGGAAACTAGAAGGATTCCTGCATTTAGAATATGTTTTATTGCTGAAATTTGCATGCTGAATTTCAGTTCAGTTTTCTGCCAAACTGATCGAACTTGTGCTACATATATATTATCCTTCTGAATCATGGTCAGACCGAAGATTTTGTGGTTTTGCGCATTAACAGAAGTGAAACTGGTAACTTTACAATGTAAGAATTCTGCTTATTTATTTATTTGTGTTTTTAATATATTAGTGCTCTATATTTCTTTTTTAAATGCCTTGAAGGAAACTTCTTTAAAGTATCTATTTTCAGTTTGCAGATTTGACATTCTAGCAAAATAGAAAATATTCCCTCTTTACTTGTAGGATAATTTGTAACAATTTGCATATTGTTCTATCATTTTGAACTCACAAACTCGTTCTCTTCAGAGGGTTATGCAGATTTTGAGATGAGCATAGGTATTTAAGCAGTTAATTGGAACCGGTAGTTGGTCAGGCAGTCGTAGCCTGCAGTTGTCTTTATATCAAATGCCTGGTTCGGCCTGAGTTGGAGTCTTCTTGAAGAATGGCAGCTGTGTCTGGTCATAACCATGGCAGTTCATATCGATGGATCCACGGAAAACAGTAGCCGTTGATTATTAATGGAGTAAGTAATGACGAGAAAAGTCCTGTCCTAATCGGTAAGCTAAAGATTTTGACCTTGTGTGATAAAAAATAATGAATTGTGGTTCCTCCTAGGATTATCTTTGAAATATGAATATTAGTTTTGTCAAATACACTGTTATCTTTATATTTTTGTTTGTAATGCTCAAAAAGAGACTCGTTAAAGTTTTAATGTTAAACGCTATTAAATCTTGGCCGGCCTGCATGCAAGTATTTCTTCCATCTCGATAACTTGGGAAAGGAAGTTAGTGGCGCTTTGTAATTAGATTCCGTAGAACTAACAATATTGGTCACATTAATCCAGCGGCCGAGTAGTAAAGTTGCTGAACAGTGGTAGTTCGGTTCAAGGTTCGAATTTTTCGAACGGGCTGGCTGTATGGGTATTTTTGGGGTTTTCCCATGTGTAACATGTATATGAGCCAGTTTTCCCTTAGCAAGTTTCCACGAAGGCATCCCTTCTCTTAGGCAAATAGCCCTTGAGGCTTTGCCATAATCATATAAACCAAACCACGTTAATCCAAACATCTAGAAAAAGGCTCAGCGAAAAGTGCCATATTACCGCAAGCTTCATTCATAAGTGATCTGGTGACGCAAATGCGCAATTTCATCTTAAATAGTTCTTATTTTTATTAAATATGT